TAATAAAATTGCTGGGCATAAACGAATAATTGGACGGGGTATTTATTATTTAATTGGTGTATATGAAACCTTACTATATCATTTTTGTAATTAATAACTCACCACTTGATAATAAATGAAATATATTTCACACAATATTGGTACATTATTTTTAAATTCGTCTTACTCTTAGACGCTGAAATGCTACCATATTGACTGATTGCAACAAGTTGGATGATTCTTCCACTAATAATTACAACAATGTGATACAATATTTATCTTATATTTAAGAAAAAAACATTTATTAATTAGAAAGCGATTGGTACACATCATTTTGAATATTATTAAACTCAATTTTTGCAGTTAACAATCATTAAGTCACTATTGGTAGGTAACATTAGAGATTCTTTTATTTTATTATGAATGTAGCAGTTAATTCATTTGCTGGATAATAATAACATTCATCAACCGCGTATGACCATTGGTCAAATATTGTAAACTGAACCAATGAAAAATATTTTCATACTTTTTTTTTTCTGGTTATTATTAAATGTCGATCGAGAGAAAAATAAAAAAATGACCTATTATTTAATTTTGTAATCAAAGATATTAAATTTTATATTTATTTCCTTATTTTCTTTTACCATGCTTTAATTATTATTTTTTATAATTAATTTATTCTATTTCTAAATAAGGTTGTGTGTATCATGTAACTTAAATATCTTGTCTAAAATGATAAATATTAACAACAAAATACATAATATCAAACACTGACCTGCCTTGTTTGTTCGTTTGGGCGAATGAGCCTTCTCCTTTCTTTGACTGAGGTCGAGCCAACTGTTCTAACTTGACAAACTCCTCCTCAGTCTCCTCAAGATTGACGTACTTCTTGCATCGTTTCAGGACCTCATCATAAGTATGAGATGTCGTCTTAGTTTGAGAGCTTCGACAATGATCAACCTGCAGACTCCTTATCAGACCACCCGATTGGACCTCATTCGATGCCGACAGAATTTCCACACACGCTTGGTTGTACCTTGCCACGTACTTTCTCAATGACTCCCCTTCCTCATGCCTCATGGACATCAAAGTCAGATTGGCTTTCGCCAGGGCAATGGCACTAGCCTATTGATTCAAGAACAAGCTCGAAAGGTCCTCGAAATCCCACCCTGAGGGGAACTGATGGAACTAATCTTGCGCGCCTCCCCTCAAGGTCGTCAAGAACGCTCTTCAACTCACAACATCAGAATATCCATGCAACACTGACATATTTTCGAACAACGCACATGCCTCGACGGATCTGTTGATCCGTCATACATCAGATTAATCTCCTAAAATTTGTTTGGTAAAACCGTATAAAGAATCTCTCCGGCAGAGAGCTGCCCCCGAGCTCGACCAACTGCCTTACCATCTACTTAGCCTGCAGTTGGCGAATCTGCTCCGCTATCTTCTCGACCGCACGATCTCTGTTCGTGCCTAGTCCTCCATTGCTTGACTCCTCCATGCCAGTCTCGTGTTGGTTCGTCCCTACCACCTTGGTCGGCACAGTGGTAGCCTGAGAAGTGTGATGAGTGGTCTGGTGTCCCGCTGCAATCGCGTTGGCTATCGTCCTGTCCAACTCTTCCCTCGACAAAGTCACCAGCTGGCCCTTCTCGACCTCGCTCCTGGATGGTACATGCGGTTGTACTTGAGCTGCATCTGGATGCGTCTACGTCTACACCACCACCCTTGGACTGCTCGAGACTCCTGCGTCTGGCTAGAGCCTGCAACGTCACCAAGAACCATCGATGAACTCCCTAAGCCCGTAAGACGAGGCATCGGGGTATCAGGGTCTGAGAAGGTTTGGAGAAGGCCGGAGACAAGTTTGCTCCCAACGAACGCATGTTCGAGCACAGGTCGTCGAAGTTCTGCTCCAAGTTTTTTTCTGGGAATTTCGTCGGTCATGGCTAGCGGGAACACTAGCTGTTCGCACGAAAGTCCTACAAACGACGCCAAAGTGGTACACAAAAGACCTTGGACCGGCTGGAAACGGTATGAACTCGAGCTTCCTCGCATGGAAAGATCTTTGCGGACCTGCAAAATACCACTTGTCACGCCCTTGTTTCGCGAACGTTGGTTGCGTGCGACCCTACCCCTTGTGCGCCCTTCGCAGCTAGCTAAGTCAGCCTCACCGTGCTTAGATCGTTCTCGGTGTGTGCAAGTGTTGGCTAGAGAATATGGGAAAGATATGCAAGAGAGTGTAGGGAAAAACTTGTACTATTATTCATTCAAACTTTGTACAAGAGAGCTTGGTTGTTGTTTGGATGCTTTGCAAATGAGGGGGCCTCTCCTATTTATAGGCACCACCTCCTCTAAGGAACCATCTAGATCCTACAAGGGTCTTGAGTGTTCTAGACCTATCCACAAAAATCTTACTTCCTACACACAAGTCCTAGAACTTTCTATATGGCTCTAGGCTCTTCATGTCCCTACTACAAGTATCTACATAGATGCCTACCAGAGGAGTTTTCCGTTGAAGTGCTTCTAATTCTTAAATGAGCATTTGTAGAAGATGAAGTGCAGAAAATAGTGTGTAAAATAATAGAGAATGTAATGTGATAATGGACATACCTCAATCCCTTATATAAGGAGACGATACCTTGTTGCCCAAGACTGCCTGAATGTGCTTCCCAAACTGCCCGAGTGAACTGCCCAACCTGCCCGTCCGTACTGCCCGGGTTGTCTGGATTGCCCGAACTGCCCAATTCTGTTAAGCCACCTGGCCGTATCCTTGTGGGCTCTTAACCCTTTAAGATTCCTTCATATCCTTTAGTCTTTCCCCTTAAACTGCCTAATGGTATGACCAGCTCGAAGTCAAGTGAGGTAGAACGTTCGCTGTTCCAAGACAAGTGTTTTCCTTTATGGCTGATCATGTGACTGGCCATCCATACAAGTCGAGTTTCCAACAAGCCATCCGAGAACCCTAGCTCGACATGTCGTTGCCTTCCTGCGCCTTTAGTGTCGTCCTTGGTCTGAAGAATCCTATTTATACGTTAGTGGGGTTCGACCACCACTAACCTTCCTACTGTTCTGCTCGACCGGCCGACTCCATTGGCTTGACTTACCGATTTACTGAGTTCATTCTATCAGGCTTCAGTATTCCATAATAATTTATAAATGTAATTAAATAATCATTTTTTACCGTAAAAACCTGTGCTATTCGAAATAGTTTATTACTCTATTAATTTTTGTATATTTATTGTACACTTATTCTTATTTAATTTAATTATTTTTAAGGGGTAAAATGCACAAAACCCCCCTGTAATATACTAAATATGCGGATTGTCCCCCTCTATTTTAAAAAATGCGGCAAACCCCCTTTTATTGTAGTTTTGCATGCGCGAAGCACCCTACACCGTCTAAGATGACGGAAGTGACTTACACGCGCAAGTTGTGCGGCTTTTCCTTCATTTTTCCATCCCAAAAGCAAGAAAGTTACCTTTTTACCCTTAAAATCAGCCTTTTAAATGTTGAATTATATCCTTCCCCACACTACCCTAATTCCCAAATCGCGCAGCTGCAACTTACAGGTATCTTCT